GGGCCACAGAGCCCACGGTACGCCCGACGGGCCGGTATCCCCGGGCCGCGAACTGAGCCATGGCAAAGCAGAGGGGCTTATCAAGATGCTATAGTTCAAGCTGGCTAGTATCACACCGGCATGCGACCTCTGAGATCATCAAACCAAGTGATCGTTGGATTCTGGCATGGCTTGCCAACATTGTCTTTACAAGAGGACTTGATGCAATAGAAGCCAAATCCATGCGAAGATCATACGGCAGCCCGTTGAGGACAGGCAACTTCTTCGACTTTGGTCACTGATGCGGAGTTCTAAGGCTTTGATCATGTGGATTGTTCTAGGGTACCTGAAGCAAACATCGTGTTTGCCCGTCTACAGGGAAGAGATGGAGGCATGGTCGCCACTACCATACCAAGCATTTCACTTGGATTGCACGCCGCAGACATGGGGGTTTCCTTTACAATCTTGGAAGCTTGCGGAATTCCCTCTGAGTGAGGGTGAGGCTCGGATGGATCACATTCGTTTCTATGTTAAACGACTTCTGTGACACGGGTCTCCTGCAGGATGATTTGTGATGAAGAACTTTGATCTTAGCCATGTGCAGCTTTTGATCGACAATACCAATTATAGACAGGAGTTGCGACATCGGGATATACCTTGAGTCAACTGGCTACTTTTTCTTGAACCAGACGACCTGTGCTAGCCGCTTTTCGTGTACGCTTACGTTCCGGCTACTGTAGCGCGCGAGGTGTACAGCCTATGTGATTCCTGTTGAGATTTACCTCCTGGAATGATACTACTGTACACTTCCCATACAGCAGGTGGTTGGATGCCTTTGTTTCGGCACTTGAGCGCAGGTTTCTTTTTTATTTGAGATTCTAAAATGGGATCTTCAGCGTGACATGCTTGATTTTGCCAATTGAAAACCTCTTGGCAGCTATACAAATACATTTCGATCTCTTCTTACATACAAACCTCCAGTACCCGGGTCTCAGATCCGAAGGGCTGTGAGGCGCATCGGACCGGATGCAAGGTGTGTGTGGCAAATAAGAATAATTTTCATTCATTATCGCGCTAGGTAATCATAATCATACCTTCTAATTCCAGAAAGGAGTGCTCCCAGCGGCGCGTTTTTGAATATGCTTCAATCAAGAACTTTTGCCAGTGTCCCCTCACAACTTGTGTGAGTTTTGTTTTGCACTGTCCCTTCACCCCAATCTTTGTCAGCAACTTTGCTTTCCAAACAATTTGCAAAGTTGCAATATTGGAAAATTGGAATTTCCAAGGAACTCCCAAAAAGATCAAAGAAACAAAAAAACAACAAAACCATTTGTGACAGGACGCTGTTTATTAATCATTATTGAAACAAGTCTTGAAACCAATCTAGAGGATCAGTTTAGTATAGGAAAACTGAATAAAGAAGAAGGAACCAACAAATGCTCCAGGAGACTAATCAAGATTAAGATGCCTAAACATGATTGAACTTGTCATTTTCATCGAAAAATGTACCACTCACAGCGCTCCCCTCTCTCTCTAATTTCTGGTTAGGACCAGGATGGGCTAGAGATCTTTGATGGCTCGGCAGGCTACGCAGTTTCTCTGGGCGCCACCCACCCAAATGTGAGGGCGTTAAGTGGCTGGAGCTTGTGGATGGATTTCCAAAGAGAGCGGGCGTGTGGCCCCACCTACGATAGGTTATGTGAACATTTAGTTCAACTGCGAGGCGATGCAGGTTGTGGTAGATCGTCCAGGGATTGTATATAGTTGGTCCTGTGGTTGATCCATCCCGCCACCCAAATTTGGTCAGAAATGATTGAAATTCTTCATTGAGTTGCCGAGGTGCATTAAAAAAGTTGTTGTTGGGCTATAGTATCGCATGGAGGAGGGTCCCTGCAGGTTTTGAGGAGTTTGTAGGTCGCAACACTCCTCGCACAAAGGCCGATGTGCTGCTCTTTCAGCAGGACTGCTTGATTATATATAAGCCAAACATCGAAAGATGTTGTTTTCAATAGATAGCTTGGGCAGCTTGGGTTGTACACTCTTTAGGCGGCTGGGTGCCGTCGGATTCGGTCATGTTTGGGTGGGGCCTCGGTATGTTTTGGTTGTGTCTCGTTTATGTATAGGTGCTCATGTTTTTGTGGTGTCTCTGCGGGTGTCTCGGTCATGTTTAGGCTGTGTCTCGGTGATGTTTAAGTGGAGTGGCGGTGTCTCGGTCATGTTTTTAGTGGTGTCTCGGTCGTGTTTCTGTGGTGTCTCGGTCGCGTTTACGTGGTGTGTCGGTAATGTTTAGGTGGTATCTCGGTCATGCTTCATGTTTCGGCGGCGTCTTGCTCATGAAGTGCCGGCTATGTTTTTGTGATGTTCGCTGATATTTTGGTGTTTTGGCGGCGTATCGGTTCTGTTTTCAAGGTGGTTCGCTGATATTTTGGTGCTGTCTCGCTTATGTTGTGGTTGTGTCTTGGTCTCAGTCTTTGCGCGTGTGTGAACAGTGCGCTTGCGTGTCCATACACCTGGTGCACATTGCCCGCGGGCGCTTCATTCAAACGCGTCTCTTCTCTGGCGCCAGAACTTACTTATTTATGGTCTCTCTGACAACTGCATTCATTGTACCTTTATAGTCTCTCCGACAACTGTTTTTGTATGGTTTATATAGTGATATATATATATTTATTTATAGTTATTTATATATGAGGGACGGTCAAAACTCCTTATTCTTTTTCAACTAAAAAATGGACGTCATCGGTTTTGAGTTGGACCTTATCGTTTTACAACGTTTTGAGTTCGTCGCATACTTTTGATCATATACAGCGCTGAGGTTATCGGTTTTGAGGTGGACCTTATCGTTTTGCAGGGTTTTGTGCGCAAACCTACCCCTCTTTACTAAAGTGGTCTTCGCATGTTTCGACCGTGGCTCATATATATTTTCTTGTTTATCCTCTGTATAGTCTTTATAAGTCACATTCCTTGTGCGAATCGAACTTGCACGCATATGTGAGAAATGTTTGTATATAGTATGTGCGTGCACACACCTCTCCTTGGTGCGATTTTTGTTTTTTGCCGTGTAGAAATGGCTCTTCAGACGCATACACCATGCATTTTTGTGAATAAACTTGAGGCCAGGGGGAGGAGGTCGAAAGCTAGCCGAATCGCACCGGATGTACTAGTTACATAGTCGGCAAAGCATGTAGTGATTACATGTTTTGGGAGAAAGGTTGCTACGTACATACTTTGCGCTAAAGAATGTAAATGTGACATCGCCGACTGGGAAGGGTACATTGGAACAACACGGGTGCACTCGTTGGCAGGCACGAAGATGCGTGATCGGCAAATCTGGGGGTTAAATTTACCCCCCGCTTTTGTACGCCTTGAGTCGGAAAGAGGGGTAAGCATTTCTGACATCACACGGACTGTACATACACTAGGGCGTCCGTAGTGTAGAAGAAGCACGGGTAAAAGGTATATGGAACAGAGTGTCTTGAGGAAATAGCCGGCTTATGGTTATTGCAAATCTGCGGGTTAAATTTACCCCCCGCTTATGTATGCCTTGTGCCGGAAAGAGGGGTAAGCATTCTGGCATCACAAGGACTGTGCATACACTAGGGCGTCCGTAGCGTAGGATAAGCGCTAGTAAAAGGTATCAGGAATAGAGTGTCTTGAGGAAATAGCCGGTGTATGGTTATAGCAAACCTGGGTGGTAAATTTACCACCCGCTTATGCATTAGGTTAGAAATAGGGGTACAGAACTTGTAACAGTGAAGTACAAGTCCTATGCAGCAAGCAGCAGCCAGCAGCAGCAGCAGCAGCCGCCAGCAGCCAGCAGCAACCACCAACCAGCAGCCAGCCAGCAGCACCACGCAGCAGCAGCGCAGCACCAAGCCGCAGCAGCAGCAGCGGCACCACTAGCAGCAAGCAGCAAGCAGCAAGCAGCCAGCAGCCAGCAGCCAGCAGCCAGCAGCAGCAGCAGCAAGCAGCAAGCAGCAAGCAGCAAGCAGCAGCAGCGGCGTCGTCAGCAACAGCAGCAGCAGCACCAAGCCGCAACAAGCGCAACAAGTAGCAAAGCAGCAGCTACAAAAGCGGCAACCAGCGGCAGCAGCAAACAGCAGCAGCAAGCAGCAGAGCGGCAGCAGCAGCACCGTTTACACCAAGCCACCGTTTACACCCAACCAACCACGTTCACACGTTCAACCGACCCCCGCTACACCGCGCAGCTGGGAGTCGAACCGTGGGGGGGGGGGGTGGTTAGCGTGATATATCACGCTAAAGTGGGGGGGCCAGGCCCCCTCCCTTAGTGTGATATATCAAGCTTTAAGGCACGCAGCTCATTCCACTACCAATTGCTAAAGCAAAGAAGAACTCAGCTAGCATGCTAGCTTTCGTGATTATTGGATTGATTTTCGTTTTTTGTGTGTTAAAACAAAGATGTCCTTGAAATTCGATGTGTGAAAGAGCAACGCGACGAGCAACACACGCAGAAGAAAGGCGCTAAATCTCGGTGGATGCTTTGCTATTGGGGTTGTCAGCTGGGTTGATTTATACATACAGCATCATAAATAAAGGGGCAAAACAACTCGACAGGAAACACAACAGGAGCAGCCAACGGCCATGTTGACCTCCAGCAACTCTTTTTGAACGTTTGCATCGCTTGTGGCAGAACGGGCGCCAAAGCGTCGGACGTTTTCTCCAACCATCAGTGGAACCGCTAGGCGTCACTGTCACACCGAACGTTAGTTGCATTGGGCTGTTTTGACTTGATCATAAGCTTGGTTTGTCCTTGTGCCGTGCTACTCACGGCCATATCTTGGTTGGTTGCGCTGACACGTTGGACACTCAGTATGTCTGCTCCCAATGCACAAAAACTTGGGAACCCCTTAATGCCTCCATAATCTTGAAGAGAGATATGGGTCTCTTTGGTGAAAAAGAAGTTGGTGCCCATCCACTGGTGAATTGCTCAAGTGCCAACAGGCTATTTTCAATTGATGACCCACACTTTTTCAATCGGCAAATTCCCAGCAAAACTCGGCCTTACTCCAAGGATGAAGTGACTGATCCCAGTGTTGTTCATGGGCCAATAGCCTCAAAATCGAGTCCGGTCTCAAAATCTGCAACACGGGACCCCAATTGACCGTTGACTCTGAAACGAATCCTTCTATCTATAGATGTTCATTTCGGGGCAAGTCTTCATCTGGGCAAGCCGCTATCGTGGAACATTTGTTCGGCTTCCATTGCAACATTGTCTCCAGCTCCCCCACATGGCACAAGAAGAAGGCGCCTATGCAGAATGTTCGCAAACAATGCAGGGATAAGGACACCAAGGAAACATGTTCTTGCTTGAGATGTGGTGCACCGCGGGACCCTAAGAGACCAAGGAAATCATTGTGCGAGACAATCACGATGACGTCCTCATCTCAGAACTCCAACAATTCCAACAACCACAACAGCACGGCATGCTTCATTGGAAACAAACAGCGGTCATATATTACTATATTATGTAATTGTTAAGGCCCCCTTCCAGTTTCACAGGTGCGGTTGTGCAGGGCATTTGGTATCTACAAAACAGCGGACTTCCAAAAAATGACGTTCTTCTTTACTACCAAATGACCTTCCACCTCAGTTTACAAAATGACACAGCACCTGCAAAAAGAACACCACCCACACACACACACCCATACAAGGCTCAAACATAATTAGGCCGCTAAAAAATGACAGTGGGACACTACAAGTGGCGTTCCAAGGTACCTGACGACAGGGCGGCTCAAAGGGTCCGGTCTTTGTGGTGTCTGTTCCTATCAATGTTGAGCTGAACGTGAAAAGTCAAAGTCAAAACGATCAGGGTCCAACACAGTGCTCAAGCAAACATGCCGCATGCCCTAAAACCTGTTCATGCACCGACGAAGTTCCAAGTACAACACATCCAAGCGAAAAAAACAGTTTCAAGGGAAACGAAAACCAATGCTCTGATAGAAAGTCTGAACAACAAGACCAAACAAAGGGAAACCACACTGTTTAGACACAACTCCCTCATGGAGCTGTTCCGTGTCCAGCCAGAAAGGCTGCGCAATCGCTTCTGTGGAAAACACAACAAACGTCATAGTTGACAACGCCATTGCCCCTGTGGAAGATTGAGCAAACGTCATAGTTGATAATGTCATTGCCCCTGTGGAAGATTTAACAAACGTCATAATTGAAAACGTCCTTGCCCCATCTACCCCCTCACCCAAATGGGTGGATTGAAAGCCTTAAGCACGATAAAAACCTATGGGGCCTATGGGATTCCTCACGCCGCCACGAGCAAAAACAAGGACAAACAAGAATGACACCAGAAACGGAAACGACAAACATGAGGAAACATAAAGGGCATCGAAAGACTGTGGCAAACCAGCCAACGGACCCAATTGCATTGGCTGTCAATTGTGCTAGCCGTTCCAGTAAAGCTTTCAAGCGAGTCTATGCTACTCAAAAGCAGCCCGCGCTAAGCAGTTTAAGGCGCAACAAACAAGAAAAGCGAAGGGAATATATACAACGACAACGCCTATGGCTTGCCGCGTGTCGACGGCCGTGGCATTTTGACTATTTTTTTTGGGCAAATTCCGCGTTGTATGTGCAGCACTTTCTGTGTGTCCGCAGGGCCACTTTGGAGAGCGTCACATTTGCCATAATTAAGCATTTTCTATGGTACCAGTATGTTTCATGGTTTCGAAGAATTGTGCACACAATGCATGGTATTTACAGTACTTTTTGTTTGTCATCGATTTCACAACATTGGCATCGACATCGCAACATTGTCATCACAAAGGGTCATGAACCCAAAGATCGAGCTGTTGCTTTGCCAATGGGTGTGGCGACTGCACTGCGTACGAAACCTCTCTGCAAACGAAATGCTTGTACAGATTATCGAGTTGTTCTGACGCTCCGTCCCCATCTGCTTCCAGACCCCTAGACGACCACAGACATGCTAACCCCAATGCAATTTCAGAATCAATTAGAATCAATAAAAAAACGTTCTTCAACAAACGCGAAAGGGTCCGAATCCGCACGGCTGTCTATGCGCGGCGGACCATGTTGTTCACGGGCAATTCCGCTTTTGATCGAGTACATCGTCACACGTTTGAATTGTCTAACGCAATATGATTCTTTTTTTTGGTGTGGGGCTTATACACTGGGTCTGTACCTACGCGGGTGCCTACGCCTGGGCTCCCCGCTCAAGCAAGTGCCTACGCGAGAGGTTCTCTTTGTTTGGTGCCTACGCGGGATGCCTACGCAGGGAACTGTCACCAACTTTAATCACGTCAGGTGACTCGAAAAGAGCTATATCATGCGCAAGTAGTGGCCCGATGCGGCCGGGTCACATCAGGTTCCTGTTTACAAGGCGTTTACAGCTTTTCTACTGATTGCCAGATAGATTTTGTATCAAGCCAATCCAATTACAGTGTGGAAGCAGCAGCACACAAACAGCACACAGCCAGCAGCAGAAAACACGAGGCAGCAGCAGAAGCAGCAGCCAATAGCTTCTTGCCTATGCGCTGCTTCCGTGAGCGCCTACGCGAGCGCCTACGCGAGCGCCTACGCGAGAATAGGTCTGTTGTTGGGAACCAAGGAGTTTAGCCGGCTGCTCACATGGTGCAAGCTATCGGGCAGTGCAGAGTTCAGTTTGCTCCATCGATATGGTACCAACAGGGTGTGCACACTTGTGGCTCAAGAGCCGGTGTGCCAGACCAAGCACGATCAATCTTTTGACATCAAAAACATTCAAAAACCAATGTGCCCCCATAGTTTCGATAAACAAACTTCAAACATCCACTGTAGCCATGCCATGGCAGTTCATTTTCCTTGTGTTCCCCACTGGAATTTGCAAGCAAGTGTCAAGTTAAACAACTACAAACCAACAACTTTTAATAGAAGTCTGAACAAGAAAACTCATGTTTTCATGAAAAGTGTGCCTACGCAAGACTGCCTACGCATGTCTTCAACACCCACCTACGCAAAATGCTTACACGACTCCTACGCCCCAAACAGAACAGCCTCTGCAACTTCTCAACAGTTCCCGAAGTTCCCTTTTTGTATAAACCTAATCATTTGCAAAAAACGTGGAGTATGAATCTAATGTAACCTATATAACCGCTTTATTGAGCTTGCCCTCGCCCTTGTGCCTCCTTGCGGCTCCCACACAAAAAACATAAAAGACATAAGCTTAATTATCTCTAATTGCATGTCCTCTCAAGGTTGGCCTTATGGAAAGAGTTTAGAACAACCTCATAAGTACACATACTTCCACAGTCACGAGCACCCTGATGGTTTCCGTTTCTACTTGGATAAATAAAGTGTGCTTGCTTCAAGTAGTAGTAGTACTAGTAGTACTAGTAGTAGTAGTAGTAGAAGTACGGTCGCTGAAGTCCTCTTCGGATCCCCGAGCCCATTCACGCAAGAGCTGGATAACCCGGTTTGCACGAATGCAAGCCTAGCAACCAGAACACTTCATTTGCGACAAGAAGTCACTAGCAGCTGGCAATTCGGCATGATAGACAATTGCACGTTCGCAACCATTCAACTCCCACCTCAGCACATGTCTCAGATCCTTGTCCCTTTTCTGGCACCAGATTGGCAACAAATCCTGGGTGCAGTCCAAGTCTATCAAAAGATTGCCGTTAAAAAACAAGTGATAGACCTATATAAAAGTGTGCTGACAGCAAGTGTCGCCATCTCTGTGATTGACATTTCCTTCGCAAAGCTGTGTGACGAAGCCCTCACTCGAAGAACGCGGAGGACAATTCAACCAAGCGAAAGTCCTGGATACTGTTCTTGTATCTGGGCTCTGCCCAAGCCAAGTGCCTTGGTCAACTGGTTCTCAGGTATGGTATGTTAATATTGAATAATATTGACATGTACTCCTTGTCGAGGAACATCTACCGTGCACTGAGTGCAGAACCTGTTCATTTCCAAAGAAGCCCTGGGCAGTTCAGCATCTTCGTGGAACATCTTGCTGAGCAAGGACGCTACTAGGAGAAAAGGGCATTGCTACTAGGAACAAGGACGCTACTAGGGGCTCGTGGCTTTACTACTAGGAGCAAGGACGCTACTAGGGGCTCGTGGCCTTACTACTAGGAGCAAGGACGCTACGAACGTAACGGGGCTTTTGTAGCTAGCGACCTTGACTTCATGGATGTCTGGGTGCACCAGTACAGACAGCCCCAGAGTCTGTGCCAAAGGCTGTGCTGTTTGCATGGCTCTCCTTGGCACACCAGTTCTTCATGTGCTTTGGCGAACAAACACACTAGGTGCATTGCGCCATGCTACTGCACAGGAGTCGCACGCGCTGCTTTGACCTCTAGCAGCAAAAGCTCACATGTTCCTGGGACTACTACGTACCACCGTGGTATGGTCTATTATACAATCTTGCTCCTCAAGAAAAATCCTGATTGTCATTTGATCACCTATTCTGGATTCAGGTCCATGCCCCTTCAGTTGCGCACCGAATCGCTTCCCCAACAGCCACGCCTACATCCACTGCATTCATTCTTTGCGACGTCGCCATGTTTCAGCAAAGAAAGAACTACAGGACACCACACAACAAAAGAATTCAGAATTAAAGTGAATCAAAGTGACTGAAGCATGTTGCAATGATTCGCAATGCAATGCAGCATGCTCAACAATATGCTCTGGAAGGTTCAAACTGTCCCAACTCTTCTGCCTGTCTGCGCCCAAGCTTCGACAAAGGAGGATCAACTGATCTCTTGCAGTAGAAGGCTGCCCCAGCGCCATGCGTGGCCTGCAAATTCAGCACTCATGTGTACTTCTTGACCATGTCACGAAGAGCTTGAAACAAGAAAGAGCTCTTGCTTGACTCAAAGCGTTCCAACATCGAAGCCTCCAGCAAATTGTTCTCTGACTGGCCATGTCGCACAAGAAGTAAGTGCATGACTCTGCCGAAGCATGAAATCGTTATCTGCACCACTGTCTATGCAGGTCTATACAAACATAAAGCATCATGGAGCCGACTTGAGTCAACAAACCAAACAAGATATGGTGTCACACATGAACATTGAATCTAAGGAAATACAAGCCAATCTAAAGCCCTGCGGAGCTGGCTGAGTTCAGCGACAACCCTGCTGAAGACGTAGGCAGCATGTGATGACACGCGAGACTTGTGAGGCAATTCCCGCTCAAAAAAAAGTCGAAAAAAGTCGAAACAGCACCCCGAAAGTCGAAACAGCACCCCGAAGAAACCCGAAAACACACCAAGCTCAACCATTATGTTATGCTGCATCACCCTTCACCCTTGATAGAATGACGCGTCACCCACACACCTGACAGAACGAAACACTCAGCCAAAATCAGGCACCAAAATGCACAGTAATTCTGTTCACGGTGTTCGCAGTTGGGAAGTCCGCTGCGCTGGCCCGCTCTCCATGAGCGCGGTTGTGGTGACCCTCCTACGATTTAGCGGTGAATCTACTTTTCTTGCAGTTGCTGCTTTGTGTGTCGGCAAAGCATGCACATTGGCAATGCAACTTCATCTCAACAGCATGGCCGCGCTTGAAGCCCAGCTGCTTTAAGATAAGAGGCCGCTTGACTCGTGAGCAGCTCAATCTATTTCAAGAGAGAATTCTTCAGGACACCGCAGCAAAGGTTATCGAGCCGAGAATGACCTGAGAAGAGTTTGACAGATGGTGCAAACTGGTTGTTGTCAGACGTTTACTTGCACAATTCAATTCACGATCATTTCTTAGATGAGCCATGTACGAGCATTGCCACCACGGTAAGTTCGGGATTTGCTCGTCGGTCCTTCAGGGACACTCCCCCAAACAAAACAATTTGGCAAAAAATAACCTACCGCAGTATGCTTTCAGGACAATGATTGCCTTGGAGTATAACAAAGACGCAAAGTACCTGGAGGCGTTCTCCACAGTGTGATGGCGAAGCGAAACTACACTTTCCGTGCTTTCAACAAAAACCACAGCAGGCACTTGTTTCTGAATCCATACACTCCTCTTGGTATGGCGGCTTGAAACCAATCTCCGCATATGTACACAAGGCTGAAAATTGAACAGCGATGAACAACGTCACTTTCCATATCCGCCGCCGCCTCGATCGGCCTTGGTGCTTGGCGGTTGGCTATTTCCACACTTTCCATTACATCGCGAAATGTTGGCCGGGCACCGTTTGACACTTCTGGACCAAGCTGGACCACTTCTCAAAGCGAACGTGTTTCCTCACACTCAACATGTCTCCGAGATATATGAAACATAATGATGTTGCATGCTGCAGGCTCAATGCATTGAGCAGGATTTTGCACTGCACGCTCTATCTATCCGTAAAACACTCGACAATAGAGACTGTGCACCCAGCCCTCTACAAGACCATACAAAAATGCAGATCCATTCCACAAAAATACCAAGCAGCATTGGAACACAAAAGAAATTGATGAACAAGTCACAGATGACATTCCAAACACACACACACACACCACACAACATGAAAAACAATTTTATACAAGCATATACCGAGTAATTGAGTTTGCCTCCTCCGATGGCCGGGGCCCCTTCAGTTCAGATGGAAAAATGCATCCCTCCCATGATCCCTTTCAAGTGGTCATGTGAGACATGCTGTTTCCCACGCGTCCTTTTCTCTAACTTCTTGGCGGCCCTGGTGTAGTTCTCCACTAACGCCTGTGGGTCCAAGGCTAAGGCTCAAGAAGAGTGCTCAAGTCTGAGGATGAAGAACAAATGAGTACATTGAATACATGACTGAATGTTTGACTCACTGGCTGACTAACTGAATGAATGAATTTCTCAGTGGAGGACCTTTTCATGCTGCAAAGCACGGCCTCAGGCCCTTCTCCAATCCTTCTGGGTCTGGCAAACAAGAATTAGTGCAATATGTTTGCCTTCGACGGCCTCCACTGACCTTGTGAAGAAAGCCCGCTTAACACTGCGGGTGACAGTAGCGTGGTTGGCGAAAGGTGCGGGGGCGTCCCTGCAAAGAAGGAATTGTTAGTTGGGGTGTGTGGGCCAGAGCTTGCTCTTACACCTCTGTCAGACCTTGGCCACGACCAACCTCCAATTGCCACAACGAAGCCCTTGGCCGCCACATTGTTTGCAAGCTATCTTCTGGCCGGTTTGCCAACGGACATGACCCTTGTGGCCATAGAGCTTTCATTGCCCTTCCATATGATGGAGGCCTGCGTTCCTCACGCAGCTGCTCGTGCAAAATGTACTAGCAACTGGTGTAGCCATGTAGCCCTTCATGTTTGCCCCACATACTGATCCAATGTAGGACTGTTGGGCTCGCAAAGGCCTTCTGTCAGCCACAGGGATGTCCCGGCAAGGCCTTTGCCAAGCAAGCAAATTTCAAACTGCCTTTGGCCTGCCTTCCTTAATCCACTGATGATATAGCAAAGCTACATAGATGCAGGAGCCTGGAGGCCTTGGTGATACGCCTGCTGGAGGATGCTTTCAGAGCCTCGAGCCAAGGAGAGGATCGCAAAAGCAGGAAGAGTAGCGGGCCCCTGGTCAGAGCGTCGACATCTCAACCCTCAAGCGGCTGAGAGGCAGCCCTCACTCGTCACTCGCCCGGAAAAGTTTGTACATCTTCTTCTGCAGCGGTGGCAAGTACAACTCGAGCAAGATCGAGCAGATGATGCGATTCCGTTGCAGCAACTTGCACCTGGATGAGGAGAAGACATCGATGAATCTATGAGACTATGAGTGAGAGGACCAACAATCGCTTCTTTGGATGAGCGGCCGCGTCAGGTCCGGAAGAAGCAGTTCCATCCTTGCAAGGGTGAGCGGAAACCCTACAGGTCCAGTCAGCACTCACGCCATAGCCAGTCGAGCCCAATAAGGAGGAGCCCTACTCCTATGAAGAAGATGAGGATAATCCGGACAATGAGGACCTGGAACAAGAGATCGTGTGGAACGAGGATGAGCCGGACGATGCTGAGGAGCCCTCAGAGAATGAAGAAGACTTGGCTGATGTCGTACCACTTGACGAAGGGCAGTAGTAGCAAAGGGAAAGGAAAGGGCAAGAAGAAGAGCGCAGATGACAGGAAGAAGAAGAGCCAGCGTGCCAGTTGCAAGCAGCATGGGCACTGGCATGGAGATCCGGAATGCCCCATGACAAGCTGGCGCAGGGAGAACTCAGGTTAACTACACATCGGTGTCAGATGGCTGGGACCGCTTGGAAACCTACGCCTCGGACACCGAGGAAGAAGAAGAGGTCAAAGGTCTCGCAGAGTCCGGTAGCCCGGATTACCTCAAGAAGCGCCGCGTGGCTTTGAAGACGGTGCTGGAGGCCTTGATCGCCGAGAAGGAGAATGAGGAGATGCAACAGCGGTTGAGGGGGAAAGAATACAAGTCAGCAAGAGAAGAAGAGCGGCGGGAGAGAAAGGGGAAGGAGGAGTACATGACACATTCCCCTCAAGCACACAAACAAAGATAAATCTACCTGAGAAGGGGGGAGGACGAAAGCCAGCTGTTTTTCCGACAGCTGCTGCAGGGCTGAGGTCGGGGATGGTTGCGGCAGCTGCATCCAGAGAAGGTTCGGGAGAAGGTACCGGGGCAGGTCCACGAGGAAGTTCTGGAGAAGGTTCGGGAGCAGGTTCCAAAGCAGACAAGGCTCCAGAGGAGGTGTGGACAGCGAAGAGATTTTCCGAGTGGCGCTTCGTGCTGTTGGGGACTTTCCTTGGGCTTATGCCACTGATCCGCCCAAAATATAACCATACGTCGCAGCTGCACCTCTCTTCCAGAGACATAGAGACACAGAACCATAGAGACATAGAGACACAGAGTCATAAAAGACAGAGACATATAACACAGATAAGTTGCTATCTACAGGGGCACCTTTTTTGATAGCAACTTGTCGCTGCCAACCAACTACAGTACCATACTTGCCCCAATACATCCAACCAGACTTCTCTGACAGGATGACTAGGAGGATGGCAGGAACTATATGTCACTGTCTCAGCATTGGTGTCACCAACCGCGATCCAAAAATATGGCATACATCCGTGACTACAACCCATCCTTAAACGGCAAGCTCTTCACCCCACCAAGTTGCTATCTACACGGGCCCCTTTTCTGATAGTGAGTTGTCGCTGCCAACCAACTACCATACTTGCCCCAAAATACATCCAACCAGTTCCATTTAAAAGCAATCATCAAGTACTTTTGCAACCAAAATCCGTCAGAAAAATTTCGACAAAGTCTTTCGGACAAGTACTGTCGCAAGCAAAATCCGTCAAAAGAATTACGACAGAATCTTTCGGACAAGTACGATTGCGACCAAATTGCGTCACAAAGCCTCCAGCCACTTCACTATATAGACTAGGGTATGCTTTACCTGCTTTGCTGGTCCAGTCAATACCATCTATAGAATCTATATAGCTTCTTTGATTGAAGTCCAAGAACGAATGTAAATTGTCCGGTCGTGCATGCTTGGCCAGGACACGTCGATATCCTTGCTTTTGAGAGCTTGACTCAAGCGATGGGGTGCAGGACGTCCAAGGTTTTGGCGTGCATGCTTTAGGTTCGTACCCAACTAGCCTCACACCTTTGCGTGCGCGCTGACGTGTCTCACCGTTCCCAGCAGCCCGTCCGAGGCAAGAAAAGTGCTCACTTCGTTCGCTCACAAAGCCTCCAGCCACAAAAGACTAGGGTATGTTTTACCTGCTTTGCCGGTCCAGTCAATACCATCTATATAGCTTCGTTGATTGAAGTCCAACAACGAATGTAAATTGCCCGGTCGCGCATGCTTGGCCAGGACATGTCGATATCCTTGCTTTTGAGTGCTCGACTCAAGCGATGGGGTGCAGGATGTCCAAGGTTTTGGTGTGCATGCCTTAGGTTCGTACCCAACTAGCCTCATACCTTTGCGTGCACGTGTCTCACCGTTCCCAGGGAGTTCCCAGAACTATCTTGCTGCCTGCGCAGGTGCACGCAACTAGGATTCCGAAGCTCGAAACGGCTACATGGTTCCACAACAGCCAATGGCCAAACCGTGCATTGACTGTATTGACCCGAAAAGTCGAGCCACCACTGTGAACATAGCCGCGCAGCCGTTACTGCGCAGCCATTATTGAACCAAGCGTTTTACACTTCAGTATGGGACTTCCAGGGTTGGTGGACAAACTCCTGCACCAGCCACTCTGGGACACGGTTTCGGCCAAGACTGCCCTGCTATCTATCTATCAAGCCAGCTCTATCTATCTATGATCTATCTATCTATTCTGTATCTATCTAGCTGCGCGGCCAAGCCGGAACAACGTTCGGTGCACGTGGACGCCGCGAGAAGCATCCGCTCGACCGAGGAAACGGTGCAAGTATAGTAGAGACTAGGATGGTTGCTCTGTACATGGGTGCCTGTCTCCACTGCAGTGCTCAATGCCCATTGTCCAAATAGCCTCCACAGCCCTTCATGATGCTAATGATGCAACTACTCGGCATCCACTGCATCACTCGCATCACCAGACCCCATTTTCACTGCTTTTCTGACCCTCGCTTTGGAGCGCTGCGGGCCCACCCTCTCAAATTGTGCCTTTTCGCGACCCACCCCCCCCCCCCCCCAAACCCCCTTAACTCACTTGGTTCGCTCTAAGAGCTCAAGCCTAGCCTATCGGCTGGCTTTCGTAATTTTCAAGAAGCCTCCTGGCTTTTGGTTCGAGCCTTCCAGTTGGCTAACCTGATTCCCGCAAATCGGCCCTAACGTTGCCGCATGTCTCTTCCCCCAGAAGGGGGTGGTGAGTGATCCTGATGGCGCTCTTCATCGCTGCTTGTCACTTGGCTGTGATGCCCATTTAGAGGATGCGCCGGTGTGGGACACATTCGCTGGATACGATGTGAGGATTGTTTCAAAGGGATGTTTCACCACCCAAACTGGAATTGAATTTGGTACCTACTTTTCCTTTTGAGCGGGGATCCCTGGATTGGGGTCATCGTGTGATTGATTTGTTCGCTGGCGCTGGATTGGTGGACAATGCACTCACTTCCTTGGGCTTCAACACCGCGCCGGCAATCGACACCAATGGACTGTGAGGCACATCGCATCTTGGCTGAAGAGGGTCACTTGAACTTTCTGCTCTGCGCAAGGTTCCCCTGCCAACCTTTCTCACCCCAAGGTTGCCAACAAGGGGAGTTCGATAGTAGGTATGGTATGGTTCATTTGAGGAATGCGCTCCCTGCATGCTCTCACCAAAGAGCTTGGATGGGAAATGCGTCAGATCCAGTTGAACCTTGATGATCAATGGCCTCTGCAAAGGCAACGTTGGTTTTGCACGTCAGTGCTGGCTCAATGGCTACCTGATCAATTGCTTCCATGGAGCCACAGCAAGGACTATGCCAACATTGGATCTGTCATTGGGACTTTTCTCACTCTGGATTCAAAAGGTCGGAGTCGGAACATAACTTGAACTGCTATACCATGACCACTACATTAGATAGGGCCCTGGCCCCCCCTAAATTAATAAAATAAACTAATTGAGGGAGCACATACTTGAGTTTCTCATAATTGATTGAGGGAGGGGTACCCCTCAATTCATTTTCTACAAATTTTGCTTAGGCCCCCCCTAACCCTCCCTAACTCATCTCGCAAGCCCCTCAATTAATTTCCACCGGGGACATTTCGGGAACATGGTAAACGCGCGCACGCACGCAAATAGTACCTCCCCGGAAGGATGGGCAGAGAAGGGCGCCAGCAAAAGAGAAAGAGGGAATAGTATATTTTTAGGAATGTGAGGGGCAATGGCAGTGGAAGGGGGAGCGAGGCGCCTAGCTACACAAGCATA